GACAGATAGTATGGATTGTATGAACTGAATTGCACAGAGAGATCGCATGAGAGAGAGAGAGAGAGAGAGAGAGAGAGAGAGATTATCTTGATATAGATATATCATATACTATATAATATATCGTATAACTTATACAACGTATTACAGCATTAAAATTAGTATTGAAGTAAAATATATAAACTAATAACCATTATTATTTTTTCAGAATAAAAATAAATAGAAAACAAATGAAAGTATCCCAATATTCACAAACTTAAGTGCAATGAATGAAATGAAATGCCATTGAAAGCAAGTCTTACAAAGCCTTTTGCTGTGATATGTATAGTAATATATTTATCGGACATTTGTTTGTCGGCTAAAACTAAATTAAAATATGAATTACCAAAACTCGAAGGTATGTTTTCAACCAAACAAATGCATTAAAAACTATATTAAGAAACTTTTCCATTAATGCAAATCAAAAAGGATGTGAAATAATTGGTTATCCAAACGCATCGATCAATGATTGCGGTTATTGTGTCGGCGATAATACCGGTCTCGACAGCCATTACGGCGAGGATTGTGAAGGAAGTAATGCCACAAATTTTATGCAATTATCTATTTTTGCCATAAATTTGATTAATTCCTAATTTCTAATCAAACAAAACATTTTTATTTTCGTCTCCAAAAGCATGTTTTGGTGAAGCAGTTATTGATTGTGAGGGAGTTTGTGGAGGAAATGCATACATAGACGAGTGCACCGGTCTCTGCATTACTGCAGGTATGCGATAAGCCTTGCATTTATGGATATTCTAATCAATAAATTAATAATCGATTTACAAAATAAAACTAATGACTTATAACAACATATATTTTGCGTCATTTTCTAATTTGTTGACTATATTTAGATGAATCGGTCGCTAAGGAAGTGAACGGGTCAGCCAGTCGTGATTGTCGGGGGCTCTGTATTCCTCCGGAACTGTCGCAACCGCAACAACAGGCCTACGATAGGGACGAATGCGGTGTCTGTCGGCTTCAAAGTACGGATAAGAGTGCGTTCATTGACTGCAACGGCAACTGTCAAGTGTTAGGCTTAGAGAAAGTTTCAATGGTCTGCGGACAGTGTGTCGAGAAGAATGCTCAGGTGATGGACGAGTGCGGCAATTGTCGCAACGAGAAGCACATCTGCTCCTGCGATCGGTTTGTCCACTCCATTAGCGACTCATTTAATGACAATATCTCTTACCTGCTATTGTTTGACACAGGGATGCGTCCATTTGTGGCTGCAATGACCCAAATAATTGCTATAACGTTAAAGCAGTCATTCCTCGCGCCGTTCCTAACGGTATTGACGCTAAGGTTTGCATACAATATAAATCATTCAATCGTTTTATATTATTGTGTTTTCAATCATAAATTGCATTTCATAGCTATTGCTTTCGGGATATTTTCATCCCGTTGTCAGAGATTTGAATTGTTTGCTGGAAAATGAGGTGACGGGAGATATCTTATCGTTTCCCGTCTCATTCATTCATAAAAACAAAACAGCACTCGAGTGCACCGTTAATGTGAAAAAAGGTTAGTTTTTTTTATCTCATTAATCTTTTTAAAAATATAAATACAAATATTTTAGTTTGAATTTATTGTGAATGAAAGTGAGACTTAAGGATGCAATAGGATATCAATCATATTTAACTATTTTTAGTTATTTAGCAGACAATTGGTGATAAAAATAATTGCAATAATCCAAAAATAGTTAATTTAATGGAAAAATGCAAATCATGTCTAATTTTATTAATTTCTTTTTTAATTTTCTTTTGGGTCACAAACGAACACTTATTATGCATTTTTATTTGAAGGTTATATGAAATTATAGTTATTTTAATGAATCGATATTATAATACAAAGTTTTTTGAATGGATTTATGTTTGTATTGGAATGTCAGCGAAAACTATAACTATTTTAATAATTTTGGCCTCAATTTCTATATAAAAGTACATTCTGTGTATATTCTGTGCGTTCAATAGACTTATAGTTAATCCATGAATACTTGCGAAAGAAAAATATTTTTAATATAATCGCTAGAATTTATCATTTGTTTTATGCATTCTCTTAACTAACGAGTGGTGAAAAAAGGCACAACAATTTGAGTCCTATTTTGGCATTTTTAACAAATTATTTATGATTCCTATCGCGTGATTCATTTCATTTGCCATTTTATTTTATCAGCAAAAATCTTTGGATCAAATGATACAAAATTCAAATAATACTCAGACATAAACATTATTATAGTCGGGATAAAAGTTATAAAAATTTATAGTTAATGAAAAAATAAGGTTTTATTCTTTCATTCATTTCCACGAAAGCACAATAAAGTCTAATGACTTTCAATCTTTCAATACATAACTGTTAGTAATTATTAAATAATAATTATATATTATAGTTATGTTTTATTGATTTTATATTATTTATTGAACTTTGTTTCAAACATGAAAATAAAATTGCTTATTATTTGCTATCATTTTATTGTTTAGGAGGAAGTTATGTAATAAGTTTGGGAATAATTAAAAATTCAATCAATTCATTTCGAAAAGATTTTATTCGACTTATAGTTTATGATCCAAAACAGGGTATGTTTTGCTCACATTTGGTGGAAATTCGTATTAATTATTTTTGTTTATTTGTTTTCATAATATATTAGTTGAGAAACTTTTCGAAGAAAGCGAAATGTTTCCAAAGAATATCACAACAAAGGATTCAAACGAAACAATTAATTTGCAATTCAGTGATCCCTCGAACTCGTTGTTCGGAATCCCATTCCGATGTCTCGTGTCATACAGTAGTGAGAATTCAGAGCAATTGACTGATGAGACAAATCAATTGCATTCGTGTTCATTAAGTCCATCGAAACTTCGCTTACATTCCCAGACATTGGAAATAAATCCCACTTTCGATGGCATTAATCTATTATCCAAACCATTCAAACTGAATATAACGGCGCCATCGCCTCAGATATCTCATCAAAACTGTTACGCGTCTGAAGACGGCTTAGCAGTGATTGTTATGTTTGAAACACCCGTTCATATAATAGAGCACTCGTTGCAAAATGCGTTAATAATTTGCGAACAATTGCTCACAAATGAAACAATCGATTACTTGAGTTTTTATGGACTTAAGAGTTGTCTTTGGGCATCAAAAGTACAGTTAATTATAACAACAGAGAAAACCATATCTGAGAATTCAGTTCACATTAAATTCAAGCCAAATGTCATTAGAGAAAGCGATCAAACGATAGCGCTTTCAAATCCAACCCAATTGGAAGTAATTGTCGGCAAATTATCAGCTGAGCCGAGTTGGTGGAGCTATGAACCACACATCGCTGTCACCGGACCATCTGAAGTGCCCGACTGTGGCATCTTTGCCCTCATCGGCCACTTCTCATCGTAAGATTATTTTTTATTTATTAAATTTATTATATTTTTAATCATTTGTAATTTGTATAACCAGTCCGAGGGGTACAACGGATGTGCAGTTTCAGTGGGAAGTAGTGGGAGAAGTGGGCAATGAATTGAAGGAACACATCCAAGAGAATGGAAAGTCAACTAATCTCATACTGGACTCAGATTTCTTTGAATACCACACGCCATATAAGTTTGTGTTTCGGGCTTTCATTCCAGTCAGAGATCAGACACTAGAAGTGGCCCACACTTTGATTAAATTGGATTACGACTCACCCGTTGTCTCTATATATCACACTCGACTCTTGCAGTCAACCCCATTGTCTGCGGATCAGGACATCATGTTATTGGCTGATATATCAGTTCCCGAATGCGTTTTCCCGGTGCAGGTCTGGCACTATATTATTGATGGTTTTTTCAATATTTTAAATTCTAATTCATTAACTTTTAGAGAATAATTCTATTCTGGAAAGTAGTTGATCCGCGAATACTGTTCCCATTGAATAACTCATTGTTGAGGCATTCAATCTCGTATGAGATTAAGCCCAACTCCGTGCCCACCGATCGGGCCATCGATATCTATTTGAGCGCATTCTTAGGCCATCGACACAACGAGACGAGTGGCGCTCGCTTTACGTTTGTCTCGTCGAAGGCACCCCTCAAAGCCAGTATAGCCAACGGTTCCACTAAAATAACCATTGGCTCCAAAAGTGGTGCCTTTCGGTTGTGGTCCACGAACTCGAAATCAAATCGAAGTCTAGTCTATCAGTGGAGTTGTCACGAGAGCCGAACAGCGCAACCCTGTTATCACTATTTTGGATCAAATAATGAACTCAGCAAAAAGAGTCCATTACTTATCGATCGGACTCTTCAGACGCAACCCGTACTCGAGTTGGACTCGACTTTCTTTCAGCCAAACAAACAGTTTTGGTTTGGATTACAAGTGTTTGACAAAAATGATAGGAAAATATTTTCCGAAACGGAATACACTTTAGTTAAAGTGGTTGAAGGGTTGGCACCGCAGGTGTCTGTCGGACCACTTTATATTAAAGACGAGCATTTAGTCCCATATAATGCTCGGCTGTCCAGTCATTTAGTTCCCGCTCGCACTTCAGTCACTGTTACGGGTGTTATAAAACCGGCCAAATTTGCCCATAATATCAAATGGGAGACACCTAATGGTTTGTATGATTTGAATTGGAGTAATCAACAGATTGGCGATGAAATTCACTCACGACTTTATTTACATGAATGTAAGCAATTTTAATAATTATTATTAAATATAGTTTTACTAATATATGGTTTTACTTGAAATTTCAGCCCAAATATTGGCATTTGGTTTATATAACGTTAAACTAATCGCGTGTAATGAGGACGACCTGTGCAGCGACGCCGACACATCCCTATTGGGTGTCCAAAGTGTGTCGATGTGTGAGCTCTATGTCGAGCACTTCACTGAATATCAATTAGTAAGTGATTAAATGAAATGGTGTACAAAAGTTATGATTATTGACAATACAATTCAATCGTTAGAGTATAGCGAATATCGAGAAGTGTAATACTCCCCCAAACGCCGCTCCCCTCACATATCAGCTCCTGTTAGCGGATGAAAGCCTTGCAAATCCATTGCCACTATCAGTGCCACAGTTTTCCGGAGTAATCAAATTCATGGGAATTCCAATTCCCACCTCTAATCCGATCACACGATTCGCAGCACAAGTTTGTGATAAGTTTGGAAATTGTGAGATATATTACTCCCAATCGGTGACCATTGAAAGGACGGCAAACACAACGTCAGCCATAAGTGACTTATTGAAAATCGCCAAACGATACCAAACGGCCGGTGACTCTATCGGCGCCTTATCTGCTTTGGGAACCGCTCTTATAAAACAGGATTTAAATGCGATTCCGATGACTGAGAAAGTGATCGACGATTTGATTGAATACTCAAGACATGCCTTAGAGCTCACAAATCAAATGCTTTCTGAGGGACATCTCTCTGTCGTCTACACCACTCTCTCCAACGGACTCTTAAGGACTCGAAATGTTTTGTCAAAACGAAAACTATTGGCATTAATACAGAAATATACACAAAAAGCCATTGCATTGAAAGTATTGCCCAAAATAGAGACCATTAAAATTCTTTACGCAAATCTTATGAAATCGTTTGTTAAAAGCGATTCCCAAAGTCCAGCAAATTTGACAAATGATTTAAAATTGTTAGAAGACATTCAAAATACAATTAGAGAAGTGAGAGCTGTGGCCGCATCCCAGACACCACTTGGATCTACTCTCCGGCTCACGAGTACTACAGATAGACACGGCTTTGAAGGCGATATCGCAGTCACTGATATTATCCACAGCTATAAAGTGTATGACATGACTATAACGGGACAATTGGACGAAAACACAACCGTTGAGACGAAGATTAATTTTGGTGAAGAAGTCAAACATAACTTCAGCTCATTTTGGAATTGCGGCCAAAGAATGCTCTGTCAAAGTGTTGTCTTCTCAGTCACTATATATCCAAAAGAGAGTCCGTTTCCACCGAAAGAAGTGTCGCACAAACTGTCGGCTGTAATCGATATATCAATTCACGCGCCCAATACGGGTCACGAACAGGTGGTCAGGGGTTTGTTCAAAGCGGCCGCTTTCCAGACCACTATCACAGGCAACGCCAGTATTGGCGGAAGTGATTATATAACAAAATGTCATTACTTTGATCGACAACACAGAGACTGGAGAGTAGATGACGTGCACCCACTGGGCATTGCCTATAGACGGGTGGGCTGTTGGTCGGGACATCTGTCCACGTTTATAGTGTTGCGAACTGTGGCCGGCATTAGTGCCGATTACGTGATCGGAGTGTTGGTCGCCTGTCTTATGGGAGTTCTTGTGTTTGGAATTATGGTTGTCTTCTTCGTCCAGAAGAAAAGAGAGGACGCGAGTAGAGTATCGCCCAAACCTATGGACAGTCCACCGAAAAAGCCTTTTGAAAACCCCCGATACAGACATTCAATGCAAAACGGCATTGAAATACAAACTGCTTCGCAATCAGTACTCATAACCGATTGAACGCTTTATTATTAAATAAAAGTTTTAATTAAAATTAAATCAGATATCAATTCTATAATAATATTTTATGCAATTATAAAGTGAATACTTCAACACATAATCGATACATAACTTATTCACAAAATGCAATAATTATTATATTTCTATATTTAAATCGTTGTTTGATATGAAAGTAGGCTTAAAACAAAGGAAATTTTGCAATTATAAAGTGAATACTTCAACACATAATCGATACATAACTTATTCACAAAATGCAATAATTATTATATTTCTATATTTAAATCGTTGTTTGATATGAAAGTAGGCTTAAAACAAAGGAAATTAATAATATTTTATTTAACTCTTTGATTAAGTTTAATATTTATACATAATATTTAGTTTTAATAAAAATAAATTTATGCTTAATTAAAAAATAAACAAATTAATTTTATATATATTTAATTAATAAAATAATGATTTTTGTATCACAAAAAAGAAATTATTTTAATTTATCAATTTTTTCAGGAATTGTTCATTATTTATATATCCCTATTGACAATATTAAGTGCATCTAAACAACAATTGCAATCATTTAACAACTTTCTTGGATTACTTTGAGAGTCAATTGTAATTCAAACTATAGTAACAATTATTGGTATTTGTATTTTTGATGACATTGTCAATTCTCATTGAAAGCAATGTTTGTAATTATTTCATTGTACTCTTTCTTATAAATTATAAGTTATAATAAATATATTGGAGATTAGAAACTATTGAACTGTTTATAAAAAAATATTCACTCAAATTATATATCATTTATGTTATCACAAGTTATATAAAAATAAATAGTGAGTGGTTTTGAATGGAAATTATTTGTCATTAACCTTGTCGTCTGATTGAGTGGTTTGGGACAAAGCAATCGCTTCCTCATACGTCGGCGGATCATCAGTCGGATCGTCAGTATAGGGCGGGGGTTGGGAGTCATGATTGAGGTCAACAGTAGTGGTGGGAGTATAAGGAGGCAGAGAGGACTGGGAAGCAGTGAGTGGCAGATCAACAAATGCCTCTTCCGGTAAGAATTGAGAATCGGGTGAATCGAGATTCACGCGGAGCTGAATAACGCGTCCACTTCTGGACACAGAGTTCCTGCTATGCCGTCGTCGCGGCACTCGATTAGTGTAGGAAAAGTCTGAGAACATTCCCGTCTGATTGGTGTATATGTGTTGCGGTAATATATTTCGCCAAAATCTCAATATAGCGATCGTTACGCAACAGAAGATAACGATTACTATTGTCTCGAGTAGTTTGTCGGTCGAGAAGAATCGGTAGTCGTTTTGCCGCAAACCATACAAATGCAAGGCCTCGCAGCCGCCGGTGTTGTCGTCCCATTTCAACCCATAACCGCACATCTTCTCTGCGACCACTGGTTTACATCTTTGGGAATTGAAGTCATACTCATACTCAGGTATACAGCGACATATTGTCGAACTGCACAATGTATTTATGTCCCAATTCCTACACTCCTTTTCATTAATGCAAGAAAAGCCAACTTTTATTGAATTAAGTCGACATTGATTTCGATCGGTGTCATAGCCATAGCCCGCGTCACAAATACAGTGACCCCTCAGAGCGTCGCAGTGAGAGTTAGAATCCTACAAGAATTAAGACCACAAATAAGACAATTAATAAACCAATTACAAACTCAATTAACATTAACATCGTTACAACGTATATAAGTACCAAAACGAGACATGTATGCGAACCGATGCAATCCGAATTTAACAATCGTTGTTTTTCGCATGTTATGAGCGAACCCTTGGTTTTGATCCAATGACCGGCTCTGCACTGACACCTTCCCATCGATTTGTATCCATCGGCTGATCCGTACTTTTCGCCAATTCTATCGAAGACTTGGCGCTGTCTTCTGTAGTATTTTCTCAACAATTGATTGCCGATTAACTCCACTTTATTCAACTCAACGGAATCCTTGTCCACACAAATGGCATTCAATGTGTGTTCACATTGTTTTGAATGAACGCAGTGTTGACCCAAATTTTCTGTCCTCAGACAGCCGTTCAGTTGCGGCACTTCTAACGGATAGTTTCCAATGCATTCACAATACCCTGTCTTCCGATTGCAATGCGAGCCGTATACACATTCTTGAATATTCTTGTGATAAGGTTTGCAAAGAATGGACAAACTTTGCACTTCTTTTATTATATAATTGATTCCGATTAGTAATAAAAATACTTTATAACTAAATAATATGTTGGATATCATTATATAATTAATGAAATACAAAATATTTCATATTTATTAAAGTGAATGCCATTTCAACGTTCGTTTCGTACATTTTGCAGAATATTCTGTGTCTCCAATTTTCATTGTCAATGTCATCGC